TGGGGCCGCGAGAGCGCCATTCTGAACGACGGGAGCAAAGCGCTGACCCGAAAATGAGGCCCACGCTGCAGCGGGAACGCCACTTGGAAATACCGAGAGCAATCGGATTGCAAACATACCATAAGGAAAGAAACACTTTTGTCAAATCGAGCGTGCCATAGCAACAAGATTCTGGATCCATCAAGAATCCACTCAAAAGAACTGCCCGATTCCTTCGCAACATACTTTCTGGACCCTGTATCCTCAAGACGGGCCTTAAGATCCGTACCCCCCAACAGCAACATTGCGAACGCGATCACTCATGACACCGGCAACTTTGGCGATAACAGTAGCAATGATTAGGCGCCCTTCCGACGGTGGATGCTGGACCACATTGTTGAGAAACGTGATGGGCACATGTGCGATCCATGCCACCCCGCATTACTTGCGAGGTGCATGGGCCCCAAGTGACGATGAGTGAGCGTAAGGACCATCATGTCGACGGCGACGGCCATAAGAACGACGATAGCGATGATGGTGTTGATGGTGATGGTGGGAGGCAAGTACAATGTTGATGATACAGATGATGGTGGTGGTGACGATTGACACGGTCCGCAGGCTGGTGGTCACGAGCACGAGCTTCGAGCATGCCGCGTGCCACGCAAGGGCGGTATGAAGTTGCATGCACCAGAAAAGCCCTAATGAACCAAACCCCAACTTCAAAAGAACGCCGTAATACACCAGACCATCCCGCCTTCGAAAAAACGACCAAGAAAACCGGACCTGGTGGACGACTCTTCAGGGATCCGGAGTACGCGGAGAAGGCGGATCACCTTCTGGACGGAGTCAGCAGGGGAGACAGGAACGCACCGGATCGCACCATGCCTGGAATATTGCACTTTTTACCCATCCCTTCCCATTGTGCCGATTGATTCCCTATCCGCCGACACGTGACATAGCTGACCTGGAACTCCCCAAATGAGGCCATCATGTCATGCCAAAAGAGGGGCAAAGTACATCGGAAGAGGTGGCGGAAGAGCAAGAGGATCAGGGAGCCAAACGCCAGTCTGAACTGATGCTAGGGACGCACGGTAAGGATGCAAGGACCGTGGGAGGTCATATCGATACCTTTTCTAGCGGGGCGCGGACAGCGACACTTGCCAAAAGATGCAAGGGTAACCTTGCAAAGTCGCCCACCATCACTATCAGTTTTGACTGTAGACAAACACTGCAGCGGCACCACCCTGCGAAACCGAAAGCGTCCTCGCTGAAAAGAAGCATTGGAGATATGAGTTGTTTTGGAAGCCGGTGTGTGTGAACAAAAAGCGAAGAGGGGTCGTTCAACTACCCATCGGTCGGAAGAAGTAGGTAGAAACACGAAATGGGAAGGCGTTGAAGGTAGACTGGGTGTCCGCCCGCCCCCTAAGGAGGACGGCAAAGGGGAAGCTCGGGCCTGGCGAAAAGGGGGGATAGCAAAAGGGGGGCTTGAGAATCAGCTCACGTCGCTGGTTTTCCTGGCGCCTCCCGGCGCCGGAGGCGGCCACGCATCGAGGAATCGGCCCGACGACGGGGCCGAAACCAGCTGCATGGGTCGAAGGTGGGCCCCGAGGGCGCGCCGCAGAGTCGCCCTGGACACCCGAGGCCACCTGCCCTGCAGTGGCAAAGCGCGGTGGAAAGAAGCGGCGGTCACCAGATCTGAGGCGAGAGCAGGGGCACAAACGGCGGATTGCAGAAACCCCGAACCCAAAAACGTCTTCATCTCTTTGAGGGCACGTCTTTTACTTCCGCCGAGCTTCCGCCGAGCTGCCGCCGGCTTCCGCCGGCTCCCGCATGCGGAGGAGGCCTCGCTTCACTTTCCGCCGACCTTCCGCCGCCCTTGCGCCGAGGAAGAGACGACAACTCCTTCGACCCTCGAAGGCGAGGCCCTTTTTGAAAGGCCACGGATGGAATTAGAGCTGGTGAGCCGCCAGCAGCAGGGCAGCATGACAGCAGGAAGGCCTTTGCCCCAGTCGGGCAAGAGGTCAGGGGGGAAGGGACACAGGAAGTGACGTTTCACTGGGCAACAGAACTCATGGAGGAGAGGGTCATCTCGGACTGCAGCCCATCCCCAGACACACCCGCCTTGGCTGTGTCGAAATCTGCGGGTGGTGAGCCAGCAATGAGCAACACTTGAATCAGCGAGGTCAGGGAAAACAAGGGAAGGCGGGAACCCGCGACACCTAGACGAAATAGACAACGATAAGGGCCGTAATCAGGTAGGGGAAGGTTGAGGGGAGAAAGGAACTTGCAGGAGCGATTCTAAGGAGACTTCGAGACTTGGGGGCCGCATTATAGGGATTCCCCGGAAGAGCTAAGAAATGATCACGCGCACGAGTGATTTGTCCTACAGCGGAGTCACGATGATGACCATTGGAAAGCGCTGCCAGGGATACGCCGAGCTCCACGCATTGTGATGGAAGTCTTCGCATCTGTCAGCGGCTCGCGATAACATTGTAGACCGCACTTGAGCTGGCTTGGCCGCCATTTCGAGCGACCGCAGCTTGATTGGGAAGCGCAGGAGGTGAAGGTTCGCCCGAGCAGTCCGAGGGAGCGAGTGACGAGGAACACGTGAGAGAAACTGGCCCCTGGCCCAGAAAACACCGGACAAAAGCCGCGTTGTCGACCTCCCTGGGTTCTATGATGTGGCAGTTCGAGAAGTTGAGGGCAAGCCCCGCCGCGGGTTCAGCTCTCTGCAGCAGACGCGCAATGATGGGGAGCACAACTATAGGGGAACAAAAAGTGACATAAACAAAAAAACTCGGAGGTCCGCGCGGATTTCTCGGATCGGCGCTGGACCCCCCTCCCTGGCGCGCGGAGCGCGCCAGGGGCGGCGCCGGAGGCGCCGCCGGAGGGCCCCAGCGCCGATCCGAGAAATCCGCGCGGACCTCCGAGTTTTTATGTTTATGTCACTTTTTGTTCCCCTAAACTAAAAGGTTGCGTGCAATCGAACCTAGATCACTGGTGAATGCGCGCCAGGTCATGTCGTGATGACGCTTCTGAATCAGGAGGGCCTTGAGGGTGGGCTCGGGGACGACCGCGACACAAAACTCGAGACAGCGGGCACCCCTGGTTCCTCCCCCCTCTTGGTCCAAAACCCTGCGCGAATTGAGTTGCCGACGCCAGGGTACGTCCAGACTCCACCGTGCAACGTCTCGATGGCTCCGCCTATTCCGAAGGGGACCTTCCGCTTCCGAAA